AAATGGCATAGGTCTTTTGTATTTCATGAAGTGAATCTGGATACCTTTAGGATCAAGAGCAATAAGCTTCCAAGTAGACGGATTAATTTTCAGCCGATGTTGTTGTTGTAGAGGCTTGCTCAACTCCGCCTAAGTGTAGGCAATTGTCGAGACCATCTAAAGGGAGCTCAAAGAAACGAGGTGCTCCGAGGGATTTATGGGTAGTTAGTACTGCAAGGGGACTCCTTGCATTCCGCGAGTTTAAATACTCCAGAGTAGTAGGGGAATATTCAAATGAGAGTCTTCATTTTTCTCGGGCCTTTCGAGGCAGCTCGACCCCTTCTACAGCTATGCGTGGTGTTTGTATTCTAAGCACGCCATTCACGGGAAGAGAGGTTAAAAAGGTCACGTCAGTTGGGTTATGTTGACCACATCTGGCGGAGTCATGGATCATGAAGAGGCCAGACGGAAGCATTTCGGAGGTAATAAACTCTCTGTGACTAGTCGTGGATGTTTAATATGGGGGAGTGAGGGAAGAAGGCATCAGCAGTCTTTACATATGATAATATTCACTTTATTTTAAACTAATACCTTTCTATGGTATTCTAGTATGATGTAATTAAAATTTTGATACTCAACATTACCGAAGCCCTTAAAACAACTCCACCGGCAGCAATTCGCTGACTGCTTGATGGTGGCATAGGTTTTGACAGTGCTACCAGGTCAGTTTGCGAGCAGAGACGGTTGGCGTCCCATATCTTCCAACTAAGTCTGGACCTCGAAGACCTGTCAAGCAGTTCGGTTCTTAAATGCTATCTGCTGTCTTTCAGGTTAAGTACTCCTTTCCTGCTGAGCCAACCGCCAACTAGGGTTCGACTTTCAGTAAATATTGGTCAGGATGAAATCTACAGTAACAGGTATTGTTGTGAAGTGAGGATATGGAAGAAAATCAGCATTTCTAGTCGGACGTCTGAGAAACACACTCTAGCGGTAGAGGAAGCTTCGATGTATAGAAATGAAAAAGTATCTGGAAGAAAAAGACACCATCCTGTGGAATCCCTCGTAAAATTTGAATTTTTTACTACGAAATTTTACCGTTGATTGCATAGTATTAAGGGTCTACCTATACAACATCAGCAGTAACGAAGATCTTTCAATATTCGATAGTAGCGCTGCGTGATTGAGAGTTTTCAAGACTTCTGATAGATCCGGCGCTGCCACTGCGATTGCGGCGCAGGGACGAATTTCTTTAAGACCATGTATTCCTTCTTCTTTTTATTCTTCTTCTTCTTATTCTTATTATTATTATTATTAAACTTCTTCTTCTTCTTTTTCTTCTCCTCCTTTTTCTTCTTCTTCTTTTTCTTCTCCTTTTTCCTTCTTCTTCCTTTTCTTCTTCTTCTTATTCTTCTTCTTCATTGGCGTGGACAACGCTTACGTCATAATAGCGGAGTTAAAAAATATTACGCCATGCACTTCTCCTCTTCGTCCATTGATGCCAGTTGGAAATACCAAGTGGTACCAGGTCACACATTACCCGATTCTTCCAACGGAGTGTTTCGTGTATATACTCGTATGTGACAGAACCTAGCCTGTATAGCCGTCGTCACTTCTTTTGTTGAACTATACTTATATCAATGTCACCGTATAGTTCATACAACTCATCGTCATGGCTTGACTAGGTCTTTTTCATGACGAAGCTTCTAGGTATGCAGATAAAGTCGCGGCGCTAGCAAAACTTGAGCAAGCCTTGTGCAAAATGCGGTAACCAACATGTATGGAGCCTTAGGTCGAGGCAAAAAGAGACCGACTTTTTTTTGTGGGTTTTGCGGAAGTCTAGTTCCAATGTCTGTTATACCAGAAGTGCGGCTGCGAGCGGTCATCGATCTTGAAGCAAGCGGCTCACTATATAAATGTGTTAAACAAAAGGAAGAAGAGAACTTCAATCCTTTTGGCTGTTCTTAGTAGAATATTTCTCTTGCCCAAGGCAGTTTTGATAGCCAGCGAAGTTCATAAGTCGAAGGCAGCTCAGAAATAGGGGTCCCATTTGCATAGCAGCTGCTTCACATTGGCGTCACCCTGTTTCTAAAGCTTTTTTCACCTCCCTTTCGTCAAACTACAATATTTGTCTTATTGCCATTGTCACTGCTGTCTGGTTGCCACCAGTGTGTTTGCTGGTTCACACATGCACAAACACACACACACACACACACACTGACCAACTCATTACTTAGCGCCTGATTTTGAGTACGAAATTATTGTTATTGCTATTTATTGCTGTTTAAACGCTTAACTAGGCTGTGAGCAGTGTTTATTATGCTGACTTTGTGTATTTTCAGCTACCTGTGCCCTTCTCAGAAAGTATACAAATACAATTTTTTTTTTTGCTTTAAATCAGTAATTTATGGCTGTGTAACACCTTATAGTGTTGAAAATGGAATTTGAATGACAAAGAAAATAAACTCAATTTTCAATTAAGCCGGCTAAGCACTTACACTCAACACTTGAAGTCTTCCTTGTTGTTGTTGTTGTTGTTGTTACGACTGCATAATTAAGCCAAATAAGCAGTTATGACAATATGAATATTAAATTTACGGTCTACAAAGGCACTTAGGGGCATATACACCACCAGCAATTGAGTCGGTGCGGTGAGTGGAGTGAAGAAGGCGATAGAGATTTTGCTAAGTAAAGGAAGTTTCCACAAAGAAAAATTATTATATATGTATGTAAATAGTAACAGAAGCGATTCACTTCTTAAATTCACCTCCAATTTGTGGTTTGGCATCTTGATGTTGGAAGGATCTGAAGTCTCCAAACGGCTGATAGGTTCTGATGAGGAACTTTTTGGCTCATGTCAGAAATACGACGACGACGAGCGAGCGTACCGAGTGGCGACACTGTAATTATAATTGGCGCTTTGTAACCGCCGAAGCGATTTTTCGGTCGAACTCCTCCACCAAATTGTGGTTCTCGCGTCTTGATGTTTTTCCCACAAAATGTGGGGACCTACAGTTTACTCGTATACTAAGCCGCCTCCGAACGGCTGATGGTTTTTTTTATGAGGAGCCTTTATTTCATGTCCGAAATAAACTCGGAGGGTTAGACACTCCCTGCCGAGAGGTGACCGAAGTTAGAAAATTTAACTTAATTTTTTATTTAAATTCATTTTCCATAACTTTTGGATTTTGGTGGCACCGGGATATGAACCTGAGTCTTCCGAATGTCAGTACGCAATGCCTGGCCTTCCGAAAGGTAGTACACAGTGCTAACTAACAACTTGGCTATTGTGACCGATGTAAAAGTACTTTGACCAAGGCTCAATGTGGAAGAGTGAGTGAAAAAGACACTAGCAAAACTCTACACACACCAAAGGATCTCTTCGAGTTAGTACTTTTCTATTTTTCAATTTTTAAGTCCGTACTTTTCTACAATGATTTTGAATGGAACCGAAGCTCTGAAAATAATACCCCGCTAGCGTTTTTAAATAATCCACCGTCGCCTTCCAGTGACATCGGAGCAAAGTGGCTCGAGGCTACACGTCTTAAACGATTTAGGAATCAGCAAACAGTAATAGAATACGAATAGGCAACATCGTGCCAGTTTTGACTTTCGGAAAGTTTTTGAAAACTAGAATAGCTACAGATGGTTGAACCAACCAAACAACGCACTCAAGTTGCCAGAAAAAGCTTTGCATATCCCTACAGTTGCTTCTAAAATGAATAGCCGTGTAGAATCTACAGTTTGCTATGCTCCAGGGAAGAGCTAAGAGAGACATTCAGAGAGAGCTACTGCAGGATCTTCTAAGCCAAAAATCATATCCATAAAAATGGCGACAGAGCTGATGCAGGTAACTCAACTGCCCAAAAGAAGAAATCTTTATTTATGTAGACATACGAAAGACCGTTAAAGAATCAGTCAGGCATTCAGAAGACTTGTGACGTAAAGAAAATACCACTTTTATCGGTAAGAGTATCGAAGGCAATGAGAAATCCACTGTGTTCTACCGAAAATCCCTCCAGCGGCTACTTCTTCTAGTACTCACATACATATATACTACAGATCAATATTATTGGGAATAGAAATTAATACAATCTCTTCTCAAAAGATGGCTCCACCTGAAAGCTGTGGCACGGATCACACATTTCACCGGAAAAGAAGGTTTCACGAGTGTTTTTGACACTACGGAAATATCAGGGTTTATGTGAAATGAACAGAATCTGTGGGAAGTTTTGGTTTTCTATTTTAATTGGAATGGTGAATCTGCGCCGACCTATAAGTCATGCAGAGCGTTCTTTCGATGCTTCAGAAATGGTGATTATAGCGTCGAAGACAAAAAGCTTTATGGGCAATCGAAAAGTTTTCGAGGAAGAGGAATGCTGCTGCTGAAACCAGAAGCGAAACCATTGATGCTAAACGTTATCGACTGCAACTAATGCGTTTGAGCGGTCAGAAATGACTGAAAAGCTTGATTCTAACGGTCGAAAATTACCTAGAAACGCTGAAATGGAAGGTCTGTGGTCGTGAGAGACAGTGGGTCGGTACAAATGTTATCCAAACCAGTATTAACGGTCTGGTAGGTTTTATTGTGTGTTTGGTGGGACTGGCAAAGAATCATCTACTATGAGTTGAAGGCAGCAATCGCCAAGAAGCGCCGGAAGCTCCGAGAGCTTGGTTGGGTTGAGGTTCTTTCCGCCGACGACCGGTTTCTTTGACGGTTAGGGTCTTTCGAAAAAATCGGAAATTGACTCAATAATTGGATCGCGGTCAGAGAGTACTAAATTTTTAGAGATGATATTCGAAAATTATAAGAGAGATGGAAAAAAATAGTCGCTTAAGGTGGACAATACTTTGAGTTTTTATTTATTTTTTCCTACTTTTTTTTAAATAAAAAGAACATTAAATAGTGAAAAAATATGAAAACTTAAAATACAAGCAGACAATGTTGTTGTTTTATGGGTCTTCAATGCTTGAAAAGGGGTTTGATCTCTCATCCTCATCCCCCGCCAATCAATGCTACTTACCTTGTGCATGCAACAAAGGATGCGGATGTCCGTGTGTTGAATGCGATTGCAATTGCATATGCTGGTGATGATGATGATGATGTTGTTGTTGTTGTTGTTGCAACGCATGCAAGTTGGCACCACCACTGCCTAAATTGTGTGGTAAAAATGCAGCAGCCACCGCAGCGTGGGCATTGAAATAGGCCATACGTGAGGCGGCAGCTGCAGCCATTGTCATCTGATGGTGATGATGCTGATGTTGCTGCTGCTGCTGTTGTTGTTGACTATAAAGTTGTTGTTGTTGTTGATTTACCGCATGCTGTTGCTGCTCAACGGCAGCAACGGTAAACGACGTCGGTATATTGCCACTTGCAGTCGAGATAACCGCGGGTGCTGAAACTGCAGACAAACTTGTGCCCGCCGCAGTTGTGGTCGTGTTTAATGAAGTGCCATCGTTACTGCTATTACTACTGCTACAACGGCCAACTGTTGTTTGCTGTTGCTGCTGCTGTTGTTGTTTGGGTGAAGGGGTGGAGCGCGACACGATTGCTGTTGTTGTTGTTGTTGGCGGTAGTGGTGGTATTGCTGTTGGTGGAGTAACGACGTCCGGTTTCGCAGCTACACCTGTTGGCGTTTGTGACTTAGATTTTATAGCCGACGTTTCATTATCTCCTACAACGCTGCCGCTCTCAGTGAACGGTTCGCGTGTTTTTGCGGCGGCAGCGACGGCGGCCACTGCAACTGCGGCTGCCGCTGCGGTATTGCTCAAGCCGAGTAGTTCTTGTATGGCGAATGGGGAACGTTGTGGCATTTTTATGTGATTAATTCACTATTTATTTAATTATATATTTATTTAATGTAATATTGTTTTGTGAGGTAATATTTTTTTGAGCTCTTTTTTTAATTTTTGTTTTGTTTAATATTTTCACTTTCACTTCATAATTGAATTAATTGTATTTCATGAACGCACGAGATGAAAACTGCGTGGGTAATTCGAAGATCTCAATTAAGGAAAATTTCAGCATTTTAATTGAGTTTTATTCTGTTTTGTAACGGTTGGCAAATTTGATTGAAAGACCAAAAATTGTCGTTGTAGCTTTATCAAGTTAATTAACATTTTTGGTTTAACCAACTATGAAGAACTCCGTTGACTCTCCCTAATTCAAACTGTCCATAATTTTAACCTCTCTATAAATCAAAGTTATCATCAGTTTCCTTTTCGTGGTTTCAAGAATTTATTCATCTGGAAGAAGGTCTGGCCATTTGGCTAAGCCAGTGTGAGAGACAAAAAGTGTCTATTAGCGGAAATTTGTATAAGGGAAAAGCAAAAGAGTTCGTGCCTCCTCTGAGCTTCAGAAACTAACTGCCCGGTAAAGGGTGGCTTAAAAATTTCAAAAAGAGCGGAGTTGGATTTAAATAAGATTTTTAAGGCTGACACGGTAGTTTGTCGTCTTTGATTGAAAACTATGATGCCCGAGACATTTTTAATATTAATTGATTAGGCATATTTTTCAAGACGAGTCACTTACTATGGACGAATCGAAAAAACTTAAACCCTGCGTGATGGAACTTCTTAACTAAAATTGACTTTTAAAGGCTAAATCATACATGAGATGACAAAATCTGAAAATTTTAGACTTTTCAGACATTTGCACAGTCTCCAACAGTCCTTTTGCATTATTCAATGTAGAACTCTACTTCCTTCCAAGGAATTATCCATAATTGAAAGGCCATACACCGCGGCCGCAATAACCGTGTGGTTAGCATTCAGAAGGCCAGGGTTGGAGTGGAGCCGTTCGGAGGCGGCTTAGTATAAACTTTAGGCCCATCCCTTTGTTGGAAAAACAACCAGACTCAAAACCACAAATTGGAGGAGGAGCTCGACCGAAAATCGCTGCAGCGTATATAAAGGCCAATTTTCTAAATTTATTTACAATATTTGTAACTGTAATTGCTCTTTGAAATAGCATTTATTCCATTGGTTGTAATCTCTATTAATTTCTAACGATGCAGCTTATTCTTAGCCGCCTCCCAACGGTTGATGGATTTGTATGACGGGCTTTTTATTTGATATCAGTAACACGAATGAAGTCAGGGGACGAACGCAATTCGAAGAATTTAATAAATATTAATTTAAATAAAATTCAAATCTTTTTTATTTAAACATTGTTTTTAATTTTTTAAATGAGTTTTGAAAATTTTTTGAATTTATTTGTTATATAACTTTTTTTATTTTTTAAAATTACAAATATGTATTTTTAGATATTTTTACCAAATTTTATTATTAGTTTCAAATAAATACTTAAGTTTTTTTAATAATATTTTCTTAAATTTTACTATAATTTGACGGTTTTTAATGCATTTTTGTAATATTTCAAAATATATGAGCTTGAAGGTTTTTTTTTCAATTTATTTGTAACTGATTTTAATTGTTTCTTAATTTAGTAATATTTATTTAAATTATTTTTTATTGATTTCAAATAAAATTTCTTTTAAATTAGGTTTTTTTAAATTAGGTTAGGTTTTTTAAACAAGGTTTTTAGTTCTTTTGAATATTAAAATTTTAAATACTATTTTTGGTTAATTTAATTTTTTTTTATTATTTGTATTAATATTTCAATTATTTGAAATAATATTTTTTTAAATAATTAATTTAATTAATTTTTAATTTTTTTTATTTTTCTATTTCAATTCATTAATTTAATTATAAAATTAATTATATTCATTTTAAATTAATTTCTTAAGCATTTTTTATATTTAAATTAAATATTATTATTTTAATTATTATTTTTTTATGTTTAAATTCATTATTATAATTTAATAATTTAATTTTTTTCAACTAAATCTGTAAAAATTTTAAATTGAGTTTTAACTTTTGTTTAATAACTTTTTAGTTCTTGCAATAGTTGTATTATTATTTTTTTAATATATTTTGAATTAATTTAAATTAATTATTTTCTATTTATTTTAAATATAGTTTTTTGCATTAGTTTTTTTAAATTTAATTTCAATTGAATTTTAATTTTTGTGTAAAAAAGTTTTCAATAATTATTTTATAATTTTTTTATTATATTTTAAATGAATTCTTTTCTATTTATTTTGAATACAGTTTTTTGCATTATTTTTTTTTTATCAAATTTCTAGTTATTTTAAGTGTTGTATATTTCGAACAATTTTTTAATTTAATTTTAATTTTTATAAATTAAATATCTGAGTTTTTAAAATTGATTTTTATTTATTATGAATTCACTTTTTCTGTTTATAAATACATACTTTAGTTCTTTTGAATATTTTCTTTTTAATTTCATTTAGTTTGCTTAAATGCGTTAATTTAATTATACAATTAATACTGTTCATTTTAAATTTATTTTTTAAGTATTATTTTTATTTAAATTAATTATAATAATATTTTAAATTCTTATATTTAATTTTTGCTATTAATATTGGAATAATTTTGATTTTTTAATTCGTTTCTTAATTTTTTTTTAAATTTTTATAAATATCGCAGTTTAGTTTTATTTGCAATGTTTTCAAATTAACCATTATAAATTTAGAAATAATGTATTATAAATTATTTTATTAATATTATATACGTTCATAATTTATTGCAAAGTATTTTTTTTTAATATTTTTAAAGTTTCATTTTTTTTAAATTAATTGTTTAATTCTTCTAAGTTAAATTTCTGCAATTTTGAATATAGACCTGTCCAAGGCTTTGAACCCGTTACTCTCCGCTTAGTATTACGCGCACGAATTCAAAACAGTTTTTCTTATTCGATAGTTGATTTGATGTTGTTAATATTGTTTACTTTATTTATTCACTCATAAAAATACGTTTACGTATGAACCTGTGAAACATAGCGAAATATACCACCCGTATACACATATGTATTTAACGCCTCCCAGCACGCACAAATTATCAACTAGTCGTATAACCGGTTTACTTGAGTTCCAACACTACGCCACCCATAGATATGTACAAATGTACTTATCTACATACATACACGTATATCGCAAACTCTCAGTCGCACTAAACACGCCGCCAGCAACGGCGCAATATTAACTCGAGAGTAGAAGGGCAATCAACAGAACACGGTAAATAGCGCGCTGAGTGACGCGAGATTTTAGTACAAAAGCACAAAAGTCTAAAAACAAAAATAAACAAAACAACTCAATGTTAACTACGCGTACCTACAAATAAGTACAATATTTGACGTAAAGTTAGCAAAAATACAAAGCGACGACAATTTCGCATAAAATACACAACGAATTCGCCATAATTTCCACGTACAACTGTTAGCCGATTGCAAGCGCACCGAGAGTTTTGTATAACCTACAACGATAGTAAAAATATAACGCCGCTGCCAACGACTACGACGAGCACACTGCTCCGTCGACTCGAACTATAGTACATGTGTGCAGATATGTACATATGTATGTATGTCGGTGGGCTGCTTGTATTGTATGGCGTTTTAAGCGGCATGCAAAAGCTATTGAGCTTGGCAAGTGGCAAGTGGCAGTAGCAAAAAACAAAAAAAAAACAGCGCTGTTAGCGACAAAAATAAAGCCAAAAGCAACGGTTTAAACGACATTTTTCTGCTTGCGCACAACAAATGCAAGCGTCAAAAAGTCATGCAGGATACGTCACTAGTATTTCAGCTAGAGTCTTAGAGCCCTTCTTATTATCCATGTCGTATAACTCTCTTCTAAGCATTTTTCATATAGCACATGAGCAGAGAATTAAACGAAATTCAACATAAAAAAAAAACATAATAATAACAATAAATATAAAATTTTATTTCTTAAAACCAAAAATATGCATATTGTTGCTCTTGTTGTTGCATTTTACACACAACCATCACCAAGTAAAAAAAAAAAGATTTGCATGCCTCTTTAACAGTTGTTGTTTGCATTAAATAGCCTTACAAATCTCGTTAACTCTCCCAACTTGGTCAGCGCTCATTGAAACGAACACCTAACAAGCAATGCCGTCGCACAGTGCCGCTGGTTGATGCGCGCGACATGCGCGTTCGATGCAAAGGTGCTCGCGCAAACATTGGGCGTCAACCTCGAACAGTACAATTTAACGGCAGCGAGGCAAAACACTACAGCTCACACTATAGCTGTACTCTTCGTACTCAGAGAGCAGTGTTCGTGAATATTTCCCCTGCTGCTGATGGCGCTGCCGGTGCTGTTGCTGCTCTTACTAACCAATATGGCGCATGCGCTTTACCACGCCTCTACATACAGTTGCTACATATGTATAATATATATATATATATATATATATCTGAAGTGATACAACTAGCGGTATACTTGCGTAAGCAACGGTAGTTGCACTGCTCGCACGCAGCTGAACTTATGTAGAATTCCCAGCCAAGGCATTGCTTTTTGGAAATATTGGAAATTTCCAATGGAATTTTTCGATGTTATTTGTGTTGGTGCGTCATTTGCGTGTGGGTTAGTGTCGCTCCTTCCATTTTTGTTTGCATTTTCTTTGTGTTGGTGTGATTTTTGTTGCCATTCATTGCAAAGCACTACAACAACAGCAGCACACACCACCTTAGCCTTTCTTTAAATGTCAACGCAAGTTGTTGTTACTTTGCCTATGTTTTTTCGTTGTTTTGCTATTGCTTGTTCGAATTTGTTGTTGCTGTCGAAATGTACGTATGTATTGTCATAGTCGCCGATTCGATTAATGGAGTATGCCAATTTATAAATGCAACCGTTTATTGCCTTGCCCTTCTTCTACTTCTACTGTTGACCACTTTAGTACTTCATTTAAGGTGTTCTAAGACTTAATGTTTCTCT